GGCTGGCCTCGAACTCACAGAGATCCGCCTGCCTCTGCCTCCCGAGTGCTGGGATTAAAGGCGTGCGCCACCAACGCCCGGCTGATCCCACGTTCTTTAAAAGAGAAAACCAACTAGTTTATCAGATGTCAGGTGGCTAGTTGGATTTTGGCTACTGGGGATGGTCAGGCTGCCTCCTAAGTAGCAGCTGGTAAACCAAGGATGAACTGCACAGCTTTCAGTACTAGTCAGAAGTGCTATCTGACTCCTATCTCTGGCCTGAGGAAAAGTGACATTCTGAACTTCCCCATAGGTCATCAGATAGCCAAAGCTTTTAAGATTACTTACAGCTGGAGGCTTTCTGATAAAAACAAATCCAAATAGGCCTGTCAATCACATGGCTGACCAAAGTTCACCGGGAAAGTTGTTTATACTGAAGACCTGAGAAGGGTATGTGGGCTACCTAAAATGTCTATCGGACATATCCCTTTGGCCGTGTCCTCTCTTACCCTTCAGTGTTGGCTCCCCTTTACTCTGGGTATGTTATGTGTCATCTGCGATTTTTTTCCCATGGGGATCACAAGGACCAGGGAGCCAAGGTGGGGGAGGAGGGTCCAGAAATTCTGGTCACCCTATTATATATGTCATTTTTTAAATGATATATTTTAAAGAACTGAACTCATATGAAGGATGTCTTCTGATGAATCTACAGCTTTAGTAAACAAATTTACAAAAGCAAAGTGTACATACTGTAGCTCCTAGAACAATCTCTAAAAGACCAAACAAAGAAATATACTTAGGAACACAGGGGATAAATCACAATGCAAGACAGAATAAACAGCACAAAAATTGTGAAATGCAGATAAACTAGGACTTAGTGGAAATATATAATTTTAAGTGCTTATATTTAAAAGACAGAGCAAGCCAACCACTAAAGATTACACCTCCCAAAACTACTAAGAGGGTAAAAATGAATACACAGCATGTAAAAGGGAAATAATAAAGGGGGAGAGTGCACTAAAAAAAAAAAAAATCAGTATGAAGACCATAGTACCAATCTAGAGCTTTAAATTAAAAAAAAAAAAAAGACTAAAAATCAATGCACCTTAGGCAGACTAGTAAGTCAGAACTATCAGTATCAGGAATGCAGAAAGCACATGAGCACTGAGGCCCAGGCATCACAGCATAAGAAATACAGGTGAGTACTAAGCCCCCAGGCATCAAATTGATAAGAAATAAAGGGACAACTTTCAGAAGTAGAAATTCAGATGAATGTAACTTTGTCCTTTAACATCTTTTTAGGCTACCCGAATTCACTCTGATAAAAACCTGAGCAGCTTTGCATCTGCTAGAATAAGTTAACTGACTATAAAGAACAGCCACCACCCTAGGCCATGTAGTTTCGCTAGTGTGTAATATAGTTAAAGACACAACATATTCCAGAAAAGAAATCAGGAGACAATACCTCATTTTTATCACTCTTACACCAAAAGAAAATGCATTAAATGATGATGAAAAATTCAAATACAAATACTCCTATGGATCATATACACAAAAATTCAACAAAATGTCTGCATATAAAAATTCAACAAAATGCCTATAAGTTATTCAGAGAAAACAGATTCACTTAATATTTGAATTTCAATTAATGAAAGAAATCATTACTAGAAAAAAAATCTTAAAAGAAAAAAATAGTTCTCTTGGGACAGTTCTAAGGAATATAGCAAAACAAAACTAGCCACACTTCAGATAATCTACTAACCGTCAATAATAACAGTAAGAATCTTAGTATGTACCTTGACTTCACTCCCCCTTTCCCTCCCTCCACCAGCTGACCATGAAAGATCTCCTCTGGGTAGAGAGGAATCAGGGAGATGTAGCAGGAATCTTAAAAGTTCTTATTAATAAAATCAAACCCGAGGCCAGTTATTGGGGTTCATGCTGGTAGATCAGAGAGACAGAACAAGCCACAGCTATCTCACCTTGCCAGTTCCTCAGCTGGTCCTGTTTCCTCAGACTGGAAGCTTCTGTGTCCTCATCCCAATGGCTCTCAGCTGAACTGCTGCTAGAAGCCTGAAGCTTAACCAGCCGAATGCTTAACCAGCCAAAAGCTTAACCAGCCAAAATCTTCTAGTTTCTGGTCCTCACGCCTTATATATCTTTTTGCTTTCTACCACCACTCCCTGGGATTAAAGGCTGGCTTTCTGGGATTAAAGGCGTGTCACCATGCTTGACTATTTCCAATGTGGCCTTGAACTCACAGAGATCCAGAGGGATTTCTATCTCTGGAATGCTAGGATTAAAGGTGTGAGTGCCACCATTTTCTAGCCTTTGTATCTAGTGGCTGTCTGTTCTCTGACCCCAGATAAATTTATTAGAGTACACAATATTTTGGGGAACACAAACTCTCCTTGTCCTGGGTATAGCATCTCCCCAGGAGAGGCAGAACAGAGTTTTTTCTATCTGGCTCTCCACCATCTTTCAATGGCCTTAGCAAATATGATGGCCCTCAACCCACGCCATTCATACTACAGAGGTCTCACATACATAAGCCAAATTGACCAAGGCCTGTATAATGTCCCAGATCCTAGAACATGGCAGTTTCTAGAAACTCCCCTCAAAGGAAATCAATTCATCTGGAAAGGAGTGGTGGGGGCTGGGGGTGGAGGTGTTCAGGACTACACTACACTTAGAAACACACAGCATGAGGTAACTAAAAGGAACTAGACTAGAATTCTAGGTCAATTGGCTTACCAAAGAAAGCTGGAGAAAAGACAGCTAGGAAGAGACTTCTTGGGTTCAAAATAAACATCAAAGACTAGAAGGGAGTTAAAAAAAAAAAAAAAAAGCCCCTCCAGTGGCACAAACTTTAATCAGACAGTAACAGACAATATATATGTCCTTAGAACCATCAAATCCAATAGCATAAATTAGCAGCAACTAGTGAAGATGGATACCTGGATGTCATACCAAGACAATCTTCTAAGTGAAAGACACACACTGTTAAAAAATCAGTCATCTTAGGATAACTACACATATGCTTCTAAGACTTCATCCTCCAGAGTATGACATCAAATACTTCCCAATGCATAGCATTTAAAAATTCATTGAAACAACACAGAAGTCATGAACCACTGGTGGCCCCAGAAAGAGGGGGGGATCAGTGTGTGCAGAGATACTACAATGTATTAAATGCTGGCCCTCCACGGACTAGAATACATAGGGTAATACATGGCCCACAATATCATAATTAACAGAGACTTCCAAGTAACCTGCAGTTTAGGGGAAACATTAAAGACTTAAAATTAGGAATGACGACAATATCAAATAATTATCTTTTAAAAAGATCTTAGCCAGGCCTGGTGGTAGACTTCTGATCCCAGTTTTGGTTTGTATGGAAAAAGATTCCTCATTTTTTTTCTTTTATCCAATTATAGTATAATTACAACATTTTCCCCTTTCATCCCTCCAAATATTCCCACATAGCTCTCCCTGCTCTTTCAAATGCATGGCCTCTTCTTTCATTAATTATACTGATACATCTATATTCCTGAAGACCACCCACTCAGTCTCTCTAGTGTTGTTACTCACAGTATGTTTGCAGGGTTGACCATTTGGTATTGGGAAGCAGTGAGTGTGCTCTTCCTGGAGGAGACGACTCGACTCTCAGCACTCCTTAGTTGCCTGCAGCTCTTTGTGCAGGGCTGAGGCCTCATGGGCTTTTCTGCCATCCTCTCTGGCATGTCTACTGTTGTCCTTTTCAGCTCATGGTTAGGCAGTCATGTTGGTGAGACTTGAAGGGTGGAGCTTCTGACATTACCAGGAGGCACAATCCCACAGCAAACTCCTGACCCTCTGGCTCTTACAATCTTTCCTTCCCCTCCTCTACAATGTTCCCTGAACCTTAGGCAGAATGTTTTTTAGATGTGTCATTTTGACTGGCTGTGGCTTTCTGTAGTGCTCTCTGTCTATTACAAAGATCAGTCTCCTTGAGGAGGACTCAGATCCCAGTTTTTGGCAATCTCATTCATTAAGCCTTTCTATACCAGACAGAGTTCAAGGTCAGCCTGGGCAACTGAATGAAATCTTGCTTCAATATAGAAATAAAAGAAGGCTGGGGATATAGCTCCATAATGGAGTGTTTGACCATGTGTGAAACCCTAGGACCAATTCCCATGTTCAATCCCCAGTATCACCAAACAAATAAGTAAACAAGTACATAATTAAACACATGACTTTTTAAAAAAAGAACAGATGATATAGAGTTGATAAGGAAAATGAATGAAATGAAAACTTCACAAAGGGGCATAATGTATACTTGAACTGAGCAAACAAAACCTGAATAAATATCAGTAATAATGTAGCCTAGAAAAAAGAGAATTTAACAGCTATAGAACTAAAGAACAGAATTAAGAACTATGAGAAGAACCTCAGGAATGTATGGCACTATTAAGAGAACTCAGATATGCAGAAAAATATTCCAGGAAATAATGGCTAAAAACTTCAAATTTAACAAAAAGCATTAATCTAAAAGTCCAAGAAGCTCAATTAACTACAAATAGGATAAACAACAAGAGTAATGTCCAGAACCAACACAGTAAGAGATACTTAAGGCAACAACAAATAGAAATGGTTTAAGATAGAAAAAGACAAGTGGTATGCCACATACAATGGACAGGAAGATTAGCAATTTCTCACTAGAAACAGGGTGACCAGAAAACTATGGGGTGACGTATTTAAAATATAGAGCTGTCAATAGGTGCGACAACAGGAGCTCGGGGAGAACAAAACAAAAACACAACTTTCCTGGAGTAAATAATTCTGATGAGATGCACACAGTAAAACCTAGGCAACAAACAGAAACAGTAATGAGGAGTACTGTGATATTTACTAAAGGAAGTAAGCTGGTCCACTTCTGTAATCCAGCAACTGGGAGGCTGAAGCAGAACCTCTGAATTTGAAGGCAGCCTATCCCATTCCATCCCGCTCCACCCTAAGAAAAGGAAAAGAAAAATACATACAAAAATGGCAACCATAAGAAAACTGGTGGGACTGTACTATTATGAAACAAAACAAACTTTTTAAAAAGTTATTATTGCCAGGTGTGGTGGCACACACCTTTAATCCCAGCACTCACTAGGCAAAGGCAGGTGGATCTCTGTGAGTTCCAGAACAGCCAGGGCTGTTACACAGAGACACCCTCTCTCAGCTAATCTTGAGCAATCTGTTAATTGCAATAGATATGTGTGTATATGACTAAAATAAGCAGACCTAAGATGACACCCTCAGAATGAATGAAATCAAACATGACCAAACAAAAAACAAGAAACAGCCAACTCAACAGCAGTATTTGGGCAATTGTAATAATCCACTTCAAATAATGGCTAAAATAACTTAAGACAACAAGATTACCATGCCAACAGGAGATTAACAATGACAGGAAACAACCAGAGCTGACAAACCTCTATAAAATAGCCAATGAACAGCAAGATATGCGTTCTTTAGGATAACTGCACACTGGAGCATAAAGAAGTCTTAAACTGAAAAGGACTAAAATCATGAAGTAGGCTACACAAGTGTAGTGGAATGAAATTAAAATGACAAAAGGAAATTTGCAAAAATTCCACAAGTTTGTACAAGTTCAACAACACCCTTCAAAATACTAACTGGGAAAAGGATGAGAGGCCAGAAAACAAAATAGACAATATTTTTGAAGGAATAAAAAAACACAAGATACCAAAATGTAGATGCTATAAATGAAGTGGTGCTTGCAGGAAATGTTTCAGTTGTAAATGCCGACATTTTTACAAAGATATCCAAAGGCTGGGGCTATACTAGTTCAGTGGTACAGAACTGGACTAGCATGGGTGTGGGGAGAGGAAGAAAAGAAAGGTAAGGGACAGAGGGAGGGAGAAAAGAGGAGAAGGGAGGAAAGAGGAAGGTGAAACAAAAGAGGAGGCACTGATTTCCAAACAATCAACTACCTAGTGGGAAAAGAACAAATTACACCCAACACAGAGAAAAATAAAAATGATAGGGGAACTAAGGAAAAAAAGAAATCTTATGGTGGGATATAGGGGAAAATAACCAAAATTAATCAACTTTAAGCTAAACTAACCAAGGAAAAGAAACAACTGGCATAAATAAATAGAACATTGTAATAACATAATTACATTAGAAGGATAAAGAAATAACAGGTTCATGCTAACAAACTATGAAACTAAAGGAAATGGACAAATTCCTCAGACATCAAGCTATCAAAATTGACAGAAATAAAACAACTGAAACTAGACCCACAACAAGTAAAGAGACTCCACTAACAATAGAAAATTTTCAAAAGGGAAAAAAGGTCCACGACCAGGAGGCTTGAGTGATGAAATTCTCAAACATTTAGAAGAAAAAAATTAGTATCACTTCACAAACTAATCCAAAAACAAACAAACAAACAAAAAAAAAAACACATAGAACACTTTCTGAATCATTCCAGAGGCCAATATTAACCAGTTAAGACAACCAAAACATCACAGGAAATGTAATTGCAATTTATATGAAAATAAGCTAACACTATCATGATGGAAGTGAAACCCAGCAACATAAAGTCTGATCCCCAGGATCTCCGTGATAGAATGGACTCCTGCAAGCTGTCCTCTAATCTGCAGCATGTGATCCCCAAGGCACATGTGTGCCCCCACACGCAAACAAACAAACAAGTGTAATGCACATCTTTCAAGTTACGGTTTTAAAAAGAAGCATAGTCAGAAGCATAATAATGATGAAATACTGAATGTTTTCCTTCTAAAAGCAGGACCATGACAAGGCTGTCCACTCTGGCCACTTTTACTCAACATGATACTGAAAATCCTAGATAAATTAGGCAACAAAATGAAACAATAAGTGTTCAGTCAGGTGGAGGTGACATTGCCTCTGATTGTAGACATTACTGGATCTACAGAAAATCCTAAGGCAGGCACTAGATTAATGATTTTACAGCAGTTTCACAGAAGTTTGGATTTTAATAATATTGAACATATCTTATAATGGTTAAAAGAGGAAGTTCAATGAGGGTACAAGGTATATAAATCAGTATGTAAGAATTACATTTCCATGTAGCAACAATGGAAAACCCGAAAAAGAAATTAAGAAAGCAACTCCATTTCTCAAGCAAAGAGATTAAAGTACTGAAGTTTAATGCACAAAATTTATACTCTGAAAGCTGCAAAAATTACAGAAAAAAATTAAAAAAACTATATAAACAGAAAGTCACTCCAGGTTCAAAGATCAGAAGAAAAGCAGCACTATATCTCAATGATCTACAAATTAAACAAAATCATTATTAAATTCCAGCTGGCTTCTTGGCAAAACTAGACAAGCTAATCCTAGAAGTCAAATGAAAATTCAAGGGAAATACACTGATCAAAAAAATCTTGAAAAAGAGCAAAGTTGGAAGATTTTCATTTCCTGTTTTCAACCTTGTAGCATGTAATCAAAACATACTAGTGTAAGATTACAATAAAACAGAATAGATGATTAATAAAAACCCTCACATTTACATTCAATTCGTTTTAGAAAACTATGCCAGAATAATCTAATGGGGGAAAGAATAATATTCAAGTGAATACTATTATGCTCTACACCTTGCACATTTTCACTAACTCGCCCTTTCTTGCAACCTATGTATAAACAGAAGTGGACCAACACAAAGCCTAGACATTTAGCATACTTCTGATTTTTTTTTTAAGTAAATCAGTCATGGAGAAGGGAGTGTATTTACTGTACCAAACAGGAACTTATTCGAAAAGCACTTGAGAGAACAGTTAAAACAGTACTAATGAATGCAATCCAACCTAAGTAAGTGAAACATGGAGCAGTAACATCAATTTAAAAAGGTCTGTTAAGCAAAAGTAATCAGACACCAAAGAGCTTTTTATCTACAACTCCATTTGTTTGAGCCTCTATTAAAAACAGAAACAGAAACAGAAACAAAAACCTAATTCACACCAATGGGAAGCAAATTAGTGATTTCCTGGGCTATGAAATGAATACTGACTAGAATCATTCAACTTAAGGGGTGACAAAAATGTTCAGTATTTGAAGCATGGTGATATTTACACAGGTGTGTGTGTGTGTGTGTGTGTGTGTGTGTGTGTGTGTGTGTGTGTGTATGTAAAAAGACAGAAAAGGCCATTTAAATAGATGCCTGATATAGTACGTAAACTCCCTCAAAAAATTTAATGTAAACCTAAAAAACCATCAGTTCCTATGGATTATGGAAGTTAAATGAGCTTTTAACTACGAGAAAACTTGTATAAAGACATCTTATTAACTAAAATACTTATATAACATTAATTTCCTTTTAAAAAGCTTTAGAATGACAACTGAGAGAAACCAGTACTAAACTGCTTTGTCTTAATTACTTGGTATTCTTAGTTTAAATTTTAATTGCCTAAGTCTCTTTACTAAACTGTAATACTCAGTAAGGGATTTAATCAAATGTGGACTCTGAAATGTTACACATGAATACTACAATTGGATTGGATCTGCTTCCCAATTTGAACCATTTCTATTGCACAGTTTTGTTTCTTTTTACTTCAGGATGGCACGAAAAATGATACACATTAAAGCAAAAGCCATGCTCCAAATTCCGAATTTTAATCTTTCCGCAGCTAACAAACACATTGTGCTATGGTGTTCTTTGGCAATCTTGGGGCAGCAGAAGCCCCAGGTGCAGATCCCAGCCATTCATGCCATCGCTATAGTTAACAACTAATATGCTGCAAAGTACCAGTCTGCTGCTAAACTAGGACGTTCCGGAGATTAAGTGTATTAAATGCATTTTTGACTGCATTTTCAACTTAGATTTGCTAATGCAAACCCCATTTAAAGCTGAGGAGCATTTATACTGGTTCCAGAAGAATCTTTAGCTAATTGTTAAAGTGAGAAGAATTCAACTAACTTGGTAGGGCAACTAAAAAGAGGACTGTAGATTATTTTACCCAGAGAGGCCAAGGTCCTTCCCCACTGGCTAGTCCCTGCTTTTCCCAGTACTATCTAATCCCTGTCCTCCTTTCCCACCACACTTCTGTGGTGATATTTTATTTGTACTGAAATGTTATTTTAATTTTATGTTAATAAATAAAGTTGCCCTGGGGTCAGAGCTATTAGAGCCATAGTAAGAGCGTGGTGGTTAGAAGAGCTAGGTAGATTTCTGTGTGTTCAGGGATATAGCCAGTATTGGAGACATACGCCTTTAAGACCTGGAGGGCGGTACTTACAGGCAGTGATGAGGCAGTCATGTGGTTGGGTTTACAACCAATGAGAAGGCAGAACAGAAAGATTATTTAAACAGGGACACAGGAAGTACCTCCCTCTCTCGGGGAAGCTAGGAGCACTGGAGGAGGTAAGATTTTATCTCTGAGCTCTGACCTCTCGGCTTTTCTCTTTTACCTTGGCTCTGTGTTTCTTATTTTAATAATACGATTGGTTACATCTACACACTTCAGCAAGTCTTGTGATTGTTTTAAAATCAGAAGACATCTAAATACTCCTGTGGCATTATTGGACAACAGGGTTAGCTGTTCTTTGTGGCTGCCCCTTCCCAAAAGGCCTTTCCCTTGGACAAACACAGGACCACTCACTCCTTCAGCACAGGCTTACCCATTCACTGTCTGAGAAAAGAGACATGCCACCTAGTCTTTCAGTTACCCGTGTATCCTCCACACATACTTGGATTTCTTTTTTCTCCATAACCTGATCACCAACCACCACAGTATTTACCGTGCACAGTTACATTCTCTTAGAACAGTGCCTGACACTAAAAAAAGAGCTCAAGTCAAATTTATGAAATGAATTAATGAACTAGAAACATAAACTCCCCAACACAGTAAGTAAAACTCAATTGTTTTGACCTAT